TCAAATGTGATCATATGAATGTGGCTTCCTCTTCCTGCTCTCCTTTTCTGTGTCCTGTATTGGTCCAATTCTTACTGCTTTCTCTGTGAGGCTAAAGACATATGTTGATACTAAAGAGGACAGAGGTCTTACTTGACAACTTAAGTTAGAAAAATCTAGAAAAGAATCGGGGTCTTATTCACATGTCTGTCCCTGACCTTATCATTGTGGCCGGCTGAGACCCCCACACCCTGGCCCAGTGAGGTTATCTGATGCCTATTTCTCTAGTGTGGTGGCTGGAGAAGGAGGTGAGGTGACACAGTCTGATAGCAAAAGCAGGGGTGGGTGGTGACCTGGGGAATACCAACAGTAACTCTCCTTAGCAAAAGGGAATGTGGGGGTTTAAGGTGTTCTTTGGTAAATGCCAGTTGTATGTCCCTGACATGAAACCAGAGTGCCCTGAAATCAAGAACCTTTTGAGTGCCTGTGTGACTCTCAAAAATTTTGGACTTTGGAGAATTTTTGATTAGGTTGTTGATCTGAGAAAAACTATACAGATATTTGAAAATCTGGAAATTTCCAATTCTGAAACACTGCTGGCCCCAGCACTTTGAATAAGTGATATTTAACCTGTATCCCTTAATTTATCTTTTGCAGAGCTTAAAACTCAGAGCTGTTTTTCATTTAGAGCCTTCTGGTTTTTCTTAAGCTTTTTGGGAAATGTTTTGATTTAAGCACTGGGTTTTTTGTTGTTGACTGTGGTGGATGTTTGCTCCTTCCCCTCCCCTTCTCCTTCCAGAAACCTTTTATTTAAGGAATATAAACTTCATGCATTTCATAAATACAACTTTGGGAATATAGTGACTCTTCCCATCATACCCACCTTCCCACCCACACACCCACCCCTTTACCTCCTCCCTCTCCTATTCCAATGGTTTTTTTTTTTTTTTTAAACCAAGATCTTTTTTCAGTTAACTTTATACACATACAATTAACTCTATACTAAGTAAGAGTTCAACAAATTGTAAGGGAGAAAAAAAAACCTGTC